TTCTGTCTCTAGGTCTCTCTCTGTCTGTCTGGCGAGCGCATGCGCCCTAAAGAAAAAAAAAAAAAAAAAAACCTCTCCAAAAAATTCCACCTAATCAACTGGTAGATCTATACTTTACTCCTTTTAAAAAATAATTATTTAATTTTATTTATTAGTATTATTATTATTTAAATTTGCTATAGGGTACATGGACTCATCAGAGAGAGACAGAAAGCAAGGCAGAGAAAGTGAGAAAGCAAGCTGCCAGGTCCAGGACACAATCCCCAGTCAGCCACGTGGGAGTCTAGCCCCTTAACGACCATGCCACCTGCTGGTCCCATACTTTATTCTTTTCACTAGTACATAGTACTCCAGGGTATGAACAAGCCAAATTAATCTGCCTGCCACACTGCTGAACATCTTTTTGGTCCCTATCTTTGTCTATTACAGTAACGCTGCAATAACCACCTTTGTGTCATATTCTTACAGTTTCATATTTATGGTACAGTAAGTATCCCAGGAGTGAGTCCAGAGGTTGCCATATCAAAGGGTAAATAGATTTTTCTCTTTTTAATTTGCTGTAGGGCAGGTGTACTTGCCAGAAAGAAACAGAGAGAGAGAGAGAGAGAGATAGAAAGCCATGCTACAATCCCTCCTCTTCCATTCTCCTCTTGGGATCTTGGGCACACATATACACATTTTTCAAACTGCTGGACTCAAACCACATACCTGACCATGTGGGAGTCAGCTACCTTAACCACCATACCACTGGCTAGCCCCAAGGTAAATAAATTTTTTTAAATAGAAGCAGCCACACCTGCTCCTGAAAAAGACGTCTGCAATTTCCATTTCCTTCAGTAATGCCTAAGTCACCTCTTCTTTGTATTTCTGCTAACAACAGGTGGATTTTTTGCATGTTTAACTAATAGACATAAAATGTCATTTCACTGTTATGTGAATTTGCTTTTTCCTGACTTTAGAAACTTAAAAACATCTTTTCTGTTTATTGATGATTTGAATTTTTTTTTTCATATCCTTTTTCATTTTTTTCTATCAGGTTGCTTGACTGTTTCCTGTCAAAGTTTAAGGGCTCCTTCTATATGACACATACATTTTTTTCTGTTATCTGTGTTATCCTTTTTTGTTTTATAATTCAGCCTTTGCCTACTGACCTATTAAATGGATATCTTCCAGACAAAGGTTCTAGAGTTTGACATAGTCAAAATGTCTATTCTGCTGTGATTGGGGGTGGTAAAACTAGAGAGCAAGATGTGGCCAAGGCAGGAAGCAGTCTCAGTGGTCCGGGCAGAAAATGATGGTGGCCTGGGCAGGAAGTACCTGGTGCTGGGAAACACGGTTCAGGAGACATTCAGGAAGTAGAACTGGCCGGGCTGGATGACAGACAGCACACAGGGGAACAGAAAAGGAAGGAGCGTGCTGCATGGTCTGAGCTCTGCTTTTCCCTAAACCTACTGAGGGGTTGTTCACTAAGAAATGAACATGGCAGGAGGGTCAGGCTTGGGCTGGACGATCAGACATTCAGTTTGGGGAACCAGCAGTTAGCGTAATGGCTATGTCGCTGGACTCCCATGTAGCCGACTGCGATTCACATCCCAGACCTGGTGGCTTAAAACTCACGCCGGGCGCGTGTGCGTGCGTGCCCAAGATCCCGAGAGGAGAATGGAGGAGAAGGGATTGCGGTGTGACCATCCCCCCTGGGGGTGATTTCTCGCTTTCTGTCTCTATGTCTCTCTCTTTCTGTCTCTATGTCTCTCTCTGTCTATCTGGCGAGCGCACGCGCCCTATAGCGAAAATCTCTCCAAAAAAAAGGAAAAAAAAAAAAACATTCAGTTTGGAACAGTGTACGTGTGACAGGCCTGTGGGATGGCCACATAGAGAAGTCCAGTGGCTGCCAGGTACACAAGCCCGGGGCTCACGGGAGAGTATACGGAGTTAGGAATCCTATTTGCAG